GGCATTTTCAGGCCTCCAAGGCAGCTTGCCTTTAGCCTGTGCAGTGCTTATATCCATTCATATAACATCTACCCAATCTAGACATTTACACAGAGATGAATAAGAAGGTAGTTATAGCACAGAGTAAAGTCGGACATTCAAACAGAGAGGGGAACACTAAAGATTTTAAGCACAAGATGTTTGTGCAGCAAGGAGAGGTCCAAAGAGGGACATCGATGGACATGAGTGTTTGGAGAAAGATTGTGTGCATTTGACTCCAGATGAGCAAAATGAGAAGCACACTCCCTGCCCACAGTAGCACGAATAAAGTCTCTTGATTAAGAAATGCTAAATTCCGTTGGAGAACTCCAAGCAACAGTGTGGTCCAAGGCAGAAGACATAGGTCAGAAGAGCTGAGCAGAGGATGGAGTGTGGGGTCAAGAAAGTCAATGTAGGAGGTGCAGAGGAGCATGCTCTACATGCTATGGTTAACAAGAAAGTACTGAAGTCTTTTCCCCAAGACGTTTCAAGCCAAATTTTAATTTAAGATAAATCACTCTGGCTGATTTAGAAAAAATCAGAAAAAAGAAAAAAAAGAAAAAATAAGTCAGGAGTACAGATGCAAGTCTAGAACTCAGCCACATGCATGTAGAGAGTGGAAGAGAAACCTACTCCAATATGGAAATTAGGAGAAGCAGAGGCCAAAGGAGAGAGCATGGAAAAACCAATCTGAGGAGATGGACAAGAGAAGCACAGTCAGAGAAGGAGACATAAAGGAACCAGTAGCAGCTAACCGGTGTGATGTCAACTGTCAAATGAGGTTCAAAGAGAGGACAGAAGATGGGAAAACAGGTTCAGTAGCATCGTCTGAATAGAAGTTGGATTGCAAAGCCTGAGGAATGAACTCTAGTGAAGTTGATTAAAGATAGACACTATTCCCAGCTTCATCCACAGCCAAAGAAATAAACACATTGCAGAAATTATAAAGTCTAGGTCATTTAAAATAATTCCTTTGATGCAACTATATACAAAGTATTGTAATCCTGGGTAAGATATAAAATAAATCAGTTGATATAATTCTGCCACTTGAAGTTTACAATCTGTTCAAAAATAACATCATTTTATTTATGTACACTTTTAGCTAGAGTTAGATAATGTGAACCTAAACTTCCTTAGAATTAATGACCTGGTTTATTGTCAAGTATTCCTAGTTACTGTAATCAAACGTGAGAATAACCAAGAAAGAAAATATTTGCAGATTCCTATATAAGACAGGAAAGAGAAGTGATTCTATCTAGGTGGAGGAGATTGAATGTGAACTCTCGAATGATCAATCACAATGTGGTTCTCATATGCAGTACTTATGAAAATCGCTCAAGGGTGGTGAAGGGAGATTCTTACGGCCCACCTCAAACTCCGATTGTGTAAGTCTGTATTAGACTGATGAAATCCACTCTTATGGGCACCTCCAGGGGATTTAGAGTAGGCAGCCCTGGGAGCACAGTGCCCTAGTTCTTAGAGGTGTACAATCCTCTTTTCTAAGTCAAGTTACTATGTATTTGAATGACTGCTCATTCTCAAGAAATGTCATAACAGAACTGTTCATAAAATTTCATCATTTAATCATCTAAAAATTATTGACACATTCCCTTAAAAAAAGTCCATGCTTAGAAGAGGCCAATTTAAACGCTTGATTTAAATTCATTCCCTAGTTCAGTATATTCTAAAAGCACTGACTGAATCCTTACTAAGGGCCACATCCCAGGCAGGTGATTGGGATATGAAGGTGAAAACAGAGTTGGGATAGTAAACATACAATGTGATAATCACCCACCTGTAGGGGGGCTCCAGAAGAGCACCTAATTTTGCCTGGGGTGTCCATATGAGGAAGAAGAAACAGGGGTGATTTCGGTGATCAGAAATAGGGAATGTGGGATGAATGACCATGTCTACCCTTGCATCCTTCCCTTGCATCCTTCCAGGGACAGTTGTGAGGATCAAGGGAGATGGTAGGTGGAAAAGTAACTTACAAAATGGTCAGGGGTTATTACTATGAGTTTCTCAGTTTCTGAGAGTAAAAACAGTGCACTCCAGGCAAAAATCATCTTTTTTTATGCCTGAACTTCTTTTCAAACTCACAAAGGTAAATTGTATGTATTTTTAATCCAAATAAGTAAATTTCATTTAAAGGTTTCATGTTCTTTTGATATGCTAACTCTCCTCTCTATAACTCTTACAGAACAATGTATTATCCTTAGAGAAGAACAGAACAAATGAGTGGCCAGAAGGGTTGGCAGAAGGAGAGTCACAAGGGAAAGCGGTGAGAGAGGAGAGAAGATCATGGATATAAAAACCTACTATCTATGAAAGGTTTCACTTGTGTGCCTTCCTCTCAGGAGGAAATAACCAAACCCCCTATATTCCCACATGTTCAACACTCCTATTTGGTGGAAGGAGCAAGGACCTTAACAAGACTGAGCTCTGTGATCTTGAAAAAGTGACCTAAGTCCTCTGGGCCTTATTTTCTTCATTTATAGTACTAGGAGCTTGAGTAGGTCATTCAACAAGTTCCTTGCCATCCCAATGTCTTCTCATTCTATAAATATGTGCTGTCATTAGCCCAGATTTGCCCGCATGATAAGATCCCAAAGGACAGATACATTGAGCTGAGCATTTGCAGTGCTCAGCTAACCAACTGTAGGCTCAAATTTAAAGAGGTATCATTTTCAAATATCCCAGTTCCAATATATCTTTTCCCACTTACACAGTGTTCTAACACATTTAATGATCTGCAAGTTACATACATATAGATATACATATTATGTGCATTATATGTATTATGGTTTTACTCAACAGATTTTATATTCTGATTTCTTAAGGAGTAAGAAATGTTTCTATTTTATTTAATCTCCTTCAAGAACATCTGTGTTCTGCAGTGGGCTCATATTTAGTTGGCATTCTCCTTTATCTGCAGGAGTACCCACAGATCACATTAGCAGCCTGCCACAGTGGCTACTGGAGCTTGTATCTTCAAGCATTCTCAGACCAGAGGGAAAAAATCTTTAAAGTATTAATTACACAAGCAAAATAAAATACTTTAGTTATTTTAGTGTGCACTGAACAAATAATTTCACACCCCCAATTCTCACAGGACACAGATAAAAACCACAGCATCATGCCCTCTAGATTAAATTTTATTGATTAAACTTATTTTTCCTTTAGTAAATAAATAATACCCTCTGGATGATTTTTATAGCAACCAATACAGCCCTGGGCATATTAATACTGTTTCTTAAACAATGCCATCTATTCTGGTTTCCAAAGTCTATCAAATATAAAGCTCTATGTTCACACAAGTTGACCACATAAGGGACCATAGCTATTAATGCTAACTATATGCCAATAACATAATTTTAATAAACAACCTCATGCAAATAGACACATTTTGGAGGACCCTTAACCCAAGGATGCCAAATTACCTTTAACAATACCAAGAGCAAAATTTAATTTTGGCAGCTATGCAGTGATCCCATAAAGAGGAAGCCTGAGGATCCCCGTGATTGCCCCCCATTCAGTACTGTGGCTTTGATTTCAGGAGCTCATGCATGACTTTAGGGTCCCCTGTTCTTCCTCTTGATTCCAAGTGAAAATCACTAGGAGATTCATGGATAAGACTGCAGGGGCTTCATAAATACCCGCAGAGCTCATGGCAAACACGTGCAAGACAGTTTAACCTTAACCCGAACAGAGATTCCAGACATTTCATGAGACACTCAAAAAAAGCCACGACTCAAAGAGAATGAGCGCTTCCCAGGGCTTCTGCACTTGGGAGGATGAAGACTACCCTTCGCTCTTGCTTTTTCAGTTCACTGACTCCTCTGGTCAATTCAGAGCCGCTAAGTTTTACTTGGCTCTGCTTAGCAAAAAAACAGTCTCTCCTCCTACAATGGCCACTAGTCAATAGCTACAGCTTTTCAATAAATGAATGCTAAAAGAACTTGATGAAAATCATATCCATTACCTTTCGGGGGCGTACAAGGTACCAATTAAACCCAGCACTTCCACCGACCTAGTCGGTTTTACCCAGCCAGGGAAGATGGGGCGAGGACTGAGGGGAGCGGAAGCCAAGAACGAAGAGCCCCCGACGGGTACCATGCCGCCGACTTAGCCCACAAGCATAGTCGCCGGCTCTCCAAGACAATGGAGCTGACATTGTCAGGCGGGGGTAGCAGTCAGAGGTCATGGAAGATCAGTGGAGGGTGCAACAGCCTGGAAGCTCTCCTTCACCCCTATATCTTTTTCCTTTCAAGTAGTCGCTCTTTTTCAGGGCCAAGGAAAAGGGAACAGAGGACGAACACCCCACCGCCCCCACTGTGGTCGTATAGGTGACCTCTCCGCTTCCCCCATCTCCCGTAGCAACGAGAAGCTTCCACGTCCCTCTAAACTGCCACTTTCGCCTCTCTCCTGGGCCAGGTCCAGAGTTCAGGTGGTTTCTGCTCTCAGCTTGCGTTCACACACCTTCCAGTGTCTTTTTCCTGGAAAGGGACCGCTAACCTTCTCTCCACGCCCCCTCTTCACGCCGGGCCTCCGGGTGGGCGCCCGGAAACGCAGGTGGGTGCACCCCGCACCCTCCCGGAGTCGCCAGCGCCTCTAGGGAGGGGAGCATTGAGCCCCGCCGACCTCCGGACCCGGACACCAGGCTGCCCGGCCAACCGCCCCGCGCCGAGGACCGCGCACTGCGCCCCCCTGGGCCCCTACCTGCTGGAGAAGGGTCCGCGGGAGCCGGGTGCCGCCTGCCACTCGTTCACGGGGATCGGTTCCGGGTGTGTCCCGTGAGGAGCTATGGGGGCGCCGGGTCCCCTGCGCCTGGAGCTGCTGCTGCGCGCTCGGAGCGGGCGCGCTGAGCGCAGCGGGCCCCCGGGGAACTGGTGACTGCCGCGCGCCGCCCGCTGGGCTGTGCCCGCTGATGGGTCGGAGCCCGCGTCTGCGGACACACTCGCCCCTCCCCGCGCACCCCTCCGGCCACGGGGGTGAACTCCTCCAGCTCTCAGGGGCGCCGTGCCGCCCGCTGCCTGCGGTCGTCCTGCGTCTCACTCGCCTGCCTCGGCCCGGAATGCGGAGCTCGCCTCCCTTCGCTCTCGCCGGGGTAGCCCCTCTAGGTCCCCTGCCTGCCTCCCTCCCTCCCACACTCTCACGCGTTGTCTGAGACCGCGCCTCTCTCTCCAATTCCAGCTCCTTCGATCCTCCCCTTCGGGTTCTCCCGCCTCTCGCTTTGCTGCGAATCTGAAAATGGGGCTCACTCTTCAAACTTTTCCGTCCCGACTTCTGCAAGAAGCAAGAGAGCAGGAGGCGAAGGGGGTGGCCCGGGCGTGGGTCATCTGGACAGTGGCGGGGGAGCCGTGACCTGGAGTGGGCATCTCCCTTGGACAGCCCGACCAGAACAAAGGCCATCGCGGGGACTATGGCAGATGAGTGACCCTTTTTAAAGATACAGAGGACATACGTAACAGTTCTTCCCGCTCCAGCAATAGAAAGTTTGAGATTCTCCTTAAATCTCTCATATATGAACTTCAGCGTGAAACGAGATGAGCATGGACAAGGACAAACCTTTCTTTAGGAAACTGTTCTCTGTTTCAATTTTTATAAAATAGAAGACCTCCATCCTCATTCCCCCAAATTTTGTTCTTGGTTGGCCCTGTAAATATGTTTCACTGTCCACATTTTGCCGTGAGAGCTATATTCCATATTAACTCTGGTGTTAATTTTATATATATATGTATAATATGTATGTATGTCTATACACATATATGTGTATATATATATGTGTATAGACATACATACATATTATACATATATATGTGTATAGACATACATACAATAGTATATAATAGTAAAGGGCCTTGTATATAACACATACTCGATAACTGTTTATTTAAATTAGTTTATAACCTTATATATTATCGACTATATCTGAATAAATTATGTGATATATGGCTATATGAAAAATAGAGAATCTAGATTTCTCTACATGGACTATATGTAGAGAAATGCTATACTTAAGTGATTATACCAGTGTATGTTCAGGAATAGATTAAATAATGATTCTAAGATACTGTTTTAATTTTCATTTATATTCCATATTTTTCCATGTTTTGAACTATTTTGTAACTTTTAAGATAGATTCAATTAAATTAATTAATTTACCTTATAATTATGATGAAACTATATAGAATATTTTCAGTACATAATCTGACAAGAGTGAAGTCCTAAGTCAAATTTAATTCTTATAAAAATAATTTACAGTGATCAAATTTATCAAAGCAATTCAATAATAGTGTTATGAATAATGTAGACTAGTAAGAATGACTATGAATTAAAAGTAAAATAAATATTTCAGCACCTAATTATTTTCTTGGAATTTTATACATTGGCACCAAGAAATAGAAATGGGCTGTGAGGAATATTATTCATTTCTATGCTTATTTTGTTGTATAACATGTGAAACCATTTCATTTCTCTCTGTATTGTAAGACATGTATGGAAAAACTTTGCACAAAATTACCTTACGAAAAGTTAGCTCTGATAACCAGCACTTAAAACCCTACAGACATAAAACAAAATGTGCCTCTTAAAATACTAATGTGGATTCATTCCTCTGAAGAGTTCAAGCTCTGTATTACTAAAGTGCTTAAATGTCTTAAATATAGATGACATATTTGATATGTTTATGTCTATCATATATCTGTTTCTATATTAGCAGCTTTTAGTTATTGAAAGAAGGTAAAAGAAAAATATGTAAAGAAAAAGCCCATAAATCATAAACAACATCATGTACGTATTATCACTATTCCCATCACATTCTGCTCATGTCATCACAGTGGTTTCCAATATACAAGTGATTATGATAAGGTTTTAAAACATGATTATGCTATCCAAGCATATAGGCAATATATTATTAAGAATGTCAATATTGGTTCAGTTCTTAAAGGTTATTTTTCTCTTTAAAGAGAGAGATAAATGCTGGTTTGCCATTGACAAGCACTCTGTTTACATAGAGACATCCTATTCTGAAGTAGTAATTCTTTTGCTAGCACAGAAGCATACATTATCCAGCTTTTGCAACCCCATGAGCTACATGGTAGTAAAAGATTGCCTTAATAAGAACCCCAAAGAATGCTGCTATTTTTACATCCTGAATTAAAGTTTTTGTCACTTTTCAGAACATAAATGATTAACTTCATCTCATCATTTTGAAATAAGTGAATGCTTTGTATTTTATTATACTTATAATCTAGTATGCCTCATATAACTTTCTTAGATGAACTGGTAATTTAAATATGGAAATAAAGTAATGTGCTAATTCTTAACAGTTATTCATGAAACAGACATTCATTCCCCATACATCAACATATTTAGATTAAAGTCATGTACCTAAAAGTATTGATATGGGCCAGAAAATGAAGAATTTCATATATATTACTGGGAAACACAGCATCATTTTAAAAATCAATGCTCAGTTATAACTCCTGCTTCACAATTTGTATGAAAGTCTTGTTTCTCTATTTGCTGTGTAAAGTTTATGTCCTCTTAAAATTAATATGTTGAAATTCTGACCCCCAATGTGATGTTATTAGGAGGAGGTGCCTTTGGGAGATGCTTACATCATGAGAGTGGCGCCCTCGTGAATGGGATTAGTGCCCTTGCACGAAGAGGATGGTTGTCGTGAAGATACAGTGAGAGGACAGCTTTCTGCAATTCAGAAGAGGGCTTTCCTCAAAAGGACCGTGCCATCACCTTGATCTCAGACTTCCAGCCTCCACAACTGTGAGAAATACATTTATATTGTTGGTAAGCCACCCAGCCTATAGTAATTTATCATAGCAACCCAAACTAAGACACTATTCTATCAATTACTGAGGGAAGGGTGTTGAAATCTCCAAATGTAATTGTGAATTTTTACATTTCTCTTTGAAGTTCTGTCAGTTTTTACTTCATATGTTTAGAATTTCTGTTTTCAGTGTATCATGTTTAGAATTAGGTACTCCTAATGAATCAATACCTTTATCATTTTGAAATAATCTTCTTTATCCCTAATAATATTCCTTGAAAAGAAATCTACTTTTTCTAACACTGATATGACTGGTTACCCTAGCTTTCTTTTAAATAATGTTAGCATGGTATCTCAGTCTATCTATTTTACTTTTAACATAGTTGTGTGTTTATATTTAAAGTGTGATTCTGTTGGATAAGTTCATCAAAAGGAGATGACTCACAGTTGACCTGCCAGCTGGCAATTCCCTGAGAACACCAGGCTCCTCACTCCATCCTCTGTCTTTGGAATGTACATTCAGCCCACTAGTCCCACACTAGGAACCTTTTCAAAGTCACAGCCTTGAGAGATCAACTGCTTTTTAAGACCATGAAGACTGGATGAGTGACTGCACCCCATTCAATCCTCTCTAAAACTTTTAAGATTCTGGTGGACGAGGCAGTGCCCAAGACAAGCCTTGCAAGTTTCCTTGCTTATTAAACCTGCACTTACCTATCTAGAGTGGTCTGCCTCATTCCGTGGTCTCTTCTTACCCTCCATGGATTGGGGGCCCGTTTCGAATTTTACTCTGGAACTCCTGAGGATGTAAGGCCAAGTTAACATTCATTAGTTACTGTGAGGACACTGATGACATTGATGTCATGTGTATATGCAGACCTTATAGACAAAAAGATGAAGTTTAGAGAACTTCAGACATTGTGTAGTGATCATTGAGACCACATTCGTGATCTGAAATCTATTTATAAATCTGTGAACTGTTCATGAAGTGTTTAAATTTATTAACATAAGAATGATTTGGAAATACTTTTAATTTTTAAATATTCTTCCTTTCTAGAGCATAATTGTTTTTTATTTAAATATATTTAATTGTTCATTTATAATTACCCATAATTTTTGTCCCTCATTCTTTTTATTTTCTAACAGTCAGTATGGAGCAATAATCAGTGGTCCTGAAAACCTCTGAGGTAACAAAGAGAACAATGCATTTCTGCTAAATTCTCTTATTAGAAAACTGTTTAGCATTGCTACAAAGAGTAGAGTATAGTTTACATTAAAACTATTTCAGTTCTATCAAAGAGTCTAAGACTGAGCTTTTTCCATTTCATCAAACAGAAAGCAGATTGCTTTCTTAGTGTGTCAGGTTTTGAGAACTGGGACACCACTGGTGTGTTTATCACATGAGCTCTACAGTCTAGATATGTCTCATAAAACCACATCGCCTTCTTTCCTCTCAAGGTCCTTGTTCTGTCCTACATACTCGCCACCTGGATCGTATTACCTTAGGGTTAGTCCCATCCAGGCTTTATGGCCACATGGACTCTGATTCCAGCTTAATTACTCCCTCAGTTACCCCATTTTGTTAATATAAATGGACTTTTTACATGTTGACCTAAAATTAAATGCATTTTCCAAACCAAGACTTTGAGCTGTGTCTTCATTTGCAGTAAAACTTCCTTCCCGGATGAATGCTGTCATCTTGAAACAGATTCTGTCTCCAACTTTATGAAGTCTGCTTAAACTATAAAGGGATGGTTCATTCTATTCTGACACTGGTATTTTACTTATTATTATATTGCTAATCTACAATAGACAGTATGACTCTTCTCCATTTCTCATTAGTGTTATCTACATAATTTTAAAGATGTGATTAAATGACCAGGATAAGTGAGCAAACAACCTTATTATAATTTCAACAATTCTTGATGATTGATAAATGTGTATTGACTTTATTATTGCAGTAAATACTTTCAACTAGCTGAATCTGACGAATCTTGTGATTTATGTAATTATTATTGTGCTTCATGCTAATCAAGACAAGGTAGAACATTCATTTAAACTGCTGTTAAAATTACCTTCTGGCAGCCAGAACAACTTCAGTTTTTCTCTAATTGTTCTTTTTA